CAAAGCACCCACATATTTTGGTAATTTGTGCACGTGTTGCAAAAAAACGTTGCGAAATTTAAGGACGAGTACATCACTGCGACTTCTGCCGGCCGTAGTTGTCCGTGTCTAGACAAATCGCATGCTACATTGTAATTGGCCGGACGCTTAGGCCTGCCGACACGGTCGTGCTATCACTGCATCGATGTAGGAATAAGGGGAGGGGGCAGGAGGGCCATGTCCCTCTCCCTCCACTTTTCCATTGGGGGCAGCAGTGTTAAGTGCCCGCTCCCCTTTCAGATTAAGGCTGTATTCAATTTACTTTTGCACTACATTAAACATGCATGCCGATTTACCTAGATCACCAGCCATCTTTCTCAAGATGCATCATCTGTTTTGTTTGCCTACTGGCCATCGCTCAGTGTCGCAGCCATAGGACCGAAGCCGAGTGGCCTATGGAGACTGCAACGCCAGGCGCCGAGGCTGCTGTTGCTGTGACTTGTGAACGCGTATGCTCAAAACCTTATCACATAATTGTTATCAGTAATCAGTTCTGACTGAACCTTAAACATTTGAATACGAATATGGATTAGCCGTGTTAACACAAATTTGGGACGCCATTCCATCTACAACCTCCGATCCGAGAGTCCTTAATATATCTGAAGAACACATAAAAACATGGAACTGGAGTCTATGTGACAATTATTGAACCACCTGCAGCGATCAGGGATGTTGCTGCGTCAATGAGAGATCCTGTGCTGATCTGGGGCCAGCTGCACGGATCAGAAGGCCTCCCGTGTCAGCGATAGGAACAATGTGATCTGATGTATCCTGCTAAGCGCTTCCGGATCGGCCAGGAGATCCCGCCCCGCGTCACCAGAATGACAGCTTGAAGACACTTCGCAGTGGGACGGAATGGCCCTTCAGCCCTTGACCGGAAATGGTCATGTGCCGCTGGTGTTCCCTTGCCCGGAAGGAAACAAGGTGTCTCAATATTGTTGATTAGAATGGGTTTTGTTGTTGCATTATTGTTGAACAGAGAGGGTCGAAATGAGTATCAAAAACGCACAAGGCCACCAAGGTTTGCCTGAGCACGCTCATTCTTTCCTAAGTGGACTAGTGAAACCAATTACATTAAATGCTTTGATCATGCCCGCCCGCAACCTCGAGAGAAAGGACAGCGATGGCCTGGGTTGCAGCTTCAGTAAAACCGAACGGCGTCGGCCATTGCAAGTGCCACCAGGCGGTGGGCGCCGAGTTAATCGGTCTTGTGGACAAATTAGTAGTTACAGAAACACGAAAACTAGGGATTCTAGCTTTACTCTTCCAGTTCCATCACCAGATTCCACACCACTTTATGGTGCTTTAAGGGCCTGTCCGTTCTTATCATCAGTCTACAAATCGCGCACGTGAAATATGCGCCCATACCGTTTTTTAAATGTAAGACTTGTTGTCCTGAAGAGTTCAAAAGTAGTCCTTTCAGAAGCGTCGCCATCTTCGTCCACTCGTCGGTCGCAGCTCAATATAAGCCGTTGGACCGACGCAGCGCTCCCTACGGAGACTGCAACGCCTGTTGTCGAGGCTTGCGAGTGCGCATGCTCAAAACTACGTCACATAGCTTGCATCAGTTACGATTTAAGTGTTGTAGGTGATGATTTCAGAAGCGTCATCATTTTCTTCCACTGGTGAGCTACGGTTAAGAATTAGCCACTGGGCTAACACTCCGCGGACTACGGAGACTGCAACGCCTGATGTAGAGGTTTTTGCTGCTAAGATTTGCGAGCGGACGTGTTAAAAAAAAAACTTCACATAAATTGCATCACTAATCGGTTCTTACCGAACGTTGACCATTTCCAGATAAACATGGCATGGCCATGTTGATACACATTTTTGACCATTCGATCTACAATCAGATTTTCATCTTCAACTTTCGATCAAACATATCGATCTATCATCTATCTTTGCGATGTCTTTAACGTCTGTAGAATCCAGATACAATTCTGATAGAGCTTCCGAATTTCATCGAGTCCACTAACCCTTATAAATTAAGGGCGCCGGCGATTTATTCCACGCAGTCTTTCAACGCGTGATTTCTACAACTTATTGACTTCAAAATCCAAACAAAATTGATCTCACGGTAGCTTCTGATTTCTGTTCTGGTTTCAAGGTGAAAATTACGATAAAACGGAGAAAATCGTGCCCCTTATTTACAAGCAAGCTATGTCTGGAACGCTTTTTTGGGGCGGGGGGACTCACCATTAGAGGGGCTTTTGTCAACCTTGTGTTCCTCCTTGACAAGGGTCTGACTTCGACCCTGCCTACACACAAAATCAGATCAAGTCGTCTACGTTGAATGATGGGCAAGTGGATGTCCCTTGGGCCAACTTATACCTAGGGCAGGCACCTTCCCGCAGGTTTTTTCCTGCGGTGGTGTGGTGTGGGGGAAGAAAATTCGGAGAAAGATACTGCTGCAGGTGTCCAACATATGTTTTACGCACCAATCAGTAGTAACGCTGATCCAGAGATGTGCAACAAAGCAGCCATATGATCAGTTCGCAGTCAGTCACGCGGGAGACAGGCGGGCCAGGTCAGTGGCCGCCGACGGCGGACGGGAGCAGGGCCCAGATAAGGAATATATGACAGAAAGGCTTTCATTCGGTGGCTTGGTTTTGAAAGGAGAATCCCAGTTCTATGGCTTTTTTCACATTTTCGGGCAGTTTTGAGTGTCTGGATTTGTTTCCGCCTAAAATGCTGCGACAAGTCTTGTTTTGAAAAACAGCTAGCGAAATGAAGGCGCATGAAAAACCCGTCGCACTGCGAGCCATCGATTCACTTTCAAAATTCTCACCGGTCTATGTCCAGGCAGCATTTTGGTATCTACTCTGTGGAAACAGTTGCCTCCCCAATGACCTAGATTGTCTACTCGTTTATGGAATCTCGTCTCCCCAGGAAAGACATTGTTGAAATCGACGAATAACCCTGGGAAGCTGGATAGCCATATTTGCCGAATGACATATATGAGTAAAATGGGAAAGATTATGCACCAGTGAGAAACAGCTCTAGATGCATATCTAGCATAGCAGCTATGACATTTGAATGAAGGGCAAAAATAACCTCCATCTCTACCCCCACCTCCCCTTGGTCAGCGGACTTGCTTTCCAGAAAAGTTCCTGAAGTACGTCCTGAGTTTGGCCCTTCCACTTCTTGAAACGTTCCAACGCTTATGTGTCAATGTCCATTGTTATGGAGTTGTACCACTTTTATCAATGGGTTCTCTCTCTCTCTCTCTCTCCCTCCCTCGCCTTTGTTCCGTTTACGATGTTAAGGTGCCATGCACACCCATGGAGCAGCGGACAACGCTATCTAGTGCCTTTAATATCAGCTGTCGTTTACCCTCTCCGCGGTTAGTGGCGACGAACCCCCAACAGTGACTCGATAACATGGGCATCACGCTGTCGTACGTCTCCTGGGCGTGGGTCTAGTGAGCGTAGGTTTCGTGAGCGTAGGTCCAGCAAGCGTAGGTCTTTTGAGCGTAGGTCCAGCATGCGTAGGTCTTTTGAGCGTAGGTCCAGCGAGCGTAGGTCTGGTAAGCGAAGGTCCAGCGAGCGTAGGTCTCGCGAGCGTAGTTTCAGCGAGCGTAGGCATCGTGAGCGTAGGTCAAGTGAGCGTAGGTCTCCTGGGGGTAGGTCTTCTGGTTGGTATCCACCAGGAAAATGGTTTCAGCGGGAGAGACTGCGACGACGGCAGGAGCCATTGCACCGACAACGGCAGCAACGGCAACGCATAACATGCGTTGAATGGTTTAGTGATTAGCTCATCGGGCATGATGACAGAAAAGTGTATGTTTAGTGCAATGGTGCCAAGGCAATTTTGGTAAAATATATGGCGCATAAACCTGAACCAGCTCATCATTGATGACATGAAGCAGTCTGCCTGAAATTACGGCGGTCCATCAATCAGATGGAATTTGAAAGAGCGGATCGGTGAAGCCAGACTGGGGCCCATCTGGGCGGTCAAAAAAGGGTCCATCTGGGCTAGTTATATGGGTCCCATCTGGACTGGTTACATGGGTCCCAGCTGGACATACCCACGTGGGCCCTAGCTGAACATACCCACGTAGGTCCTAACTAGGTGACCCAGGTGGGCCCCATGTGGGTCACAGTTGAGCCCCAAATGGGCCCCAGTTGAGGTGCCCATGTGGGACCCAGTTGGTTGCCCATGAGATGCCCACATAGGACCGAAATGGGTCTTAACTGGGCAGCCCAAATGACTCCAGGTGGGCTGCTCATGTGGCACCCAGTTGGTTGCCCATGGCATGCCCACGTGGGACCGCAGTGGGCAGCCCCGATGGGCCCCATATGACTGCCCACCTCGAACGCACGAGGTTCCCAGTTGGACATGCTCGCTGGGACTGTAATATTAAGGCAAAGTGGCATAAAGGGCAGGTTTGAGCTGATCTCGGGTCACTGATATTGAACTTCCAGAAGCATACGAAAAAATATAGCTTGCTGTGCTTGACCACTTCCATCAGTTCTGCATTCTTCTAAAATCGCTACTAAAAAGCGTCAGGCAGCGATTGCTATCTTAATTGGTGACCTCTGACGTGGCCTGGGTCGGTGACCTTGGAATCCAGTGTAAAAACGTCAGTGGAATATGCAAAATCGATAACGAACAGCTTGCGGATTTTGGATGTGCCAAAAGTGATAACAATTATCACACATTACCATTGGGACTTAACCAATGTCCCTGACCTTATCGCTTATATCTCCTGGTGAATTTGAATGCAGTTTACGGCATCATATATTCAAACAGGTATAACGGGTCACGAATCCTGCTAGCACTGCACCATTTCATAACTGCTTGGAAATTTTGTTTCGATTAAGCCACTGCAGCGCTCAATATTTGTTACGATATTTCAAAGCAGCAGTTTAGGATGTTTTAGCTGCCAGATCTACTGAAACGAAACCTTGAACCAATATTACACTCGACTTGTCCCGTTGGCGTCACTCCAGTTCGAGCGCCTCGGGGAGCGGTATCGCCGCCGCCGGTGGTGTCAGTCGCCGGGCCGAAATCTGCCCTGTCGCGAGTTTGCTGCTCAGTGCCATCATTCTTTGACAAGGAAGTGGACTGCTGTTGTGCACCAGCCAGCCACCAAACATATCAGATTAGCAATCCTCCCGTAGTTGATCGGGATTTCGGATTGGGGAAAATTCGTTGCCGAAAAACACTTGTGATTTGTTTGGACGTGCCGTGGGACGTCATCGCTGTTTGTGTGCCCAGACGTCCAGGTAGCTGTTCTACTGAGCTGTCAAGTGTATAGCACCAAAAATCCCAACAGTGCGTTGAAAACAAACCGGTGGCATTCACAAAGCATCTAGCAGCTACTCACGTCTGTTCAGCAGTCTCACACAATGGCGGAAGGCATCAAACCAAATATATCCCAGCAAACGCTGGTCAAGAATGGTGATGTGCCAGATGTCAAATTCGCTTCAACTCCATCGGGTGAAGTGACTCCTACAAGAGCATCATCAACATTTGGCAGAAAGATTACGATTCGTCAAGGAATATCTGTTGCTATCCTTTGCTTTGTTAACCTTATAAATTATATGGACAGATTTACTATAGCTGGTAAGCTCAATTTCTATGAGACCTTTCTTTCCTTGTCTTTCAACAAACATATTGTGTTAGTGCGGGTCTTTTACTTCAGTGTGGTATTGTGGCAGTGTGTATGGCTTGTTAAGTTTTGTATCAGTATGTGGCTAGAAAGCAAATTTTTGCTGCAGTTCATCAATAGAATGCAAACCAAGGTATGGTGTTCAAGTCTGTGTGAGGTCGGCTATGGAAACCAAAAGTGTAGAACATCCAGTGTTGTGATTTTCATGAACTGTGTAATGATTTATTAACATGTTTTCAGATTTGGACAGAGGTAGTCATCCATATCTTCAGTTTATGTATTTGCTTAGGTAGCATATAATATTTTATGTGTCTGAAGTATGAGTGTACTAAATGGTGATGCTTGTTTCAAATAGGAGTGCTACTATGTTCCACAACTCATCCTGAGCAATGCCCTTAAAGATAGCATGTACACCTTATATGAGACAATTAGATTTGTGGGTTTCCATGCCTTTTATTCATAATTCATGCATGATACTCAGCAACCAACCCTTGCTTCACAGGCATTCTGACAGACATCCAGACGCACTTTGATGTGAACGACTCCATGGCTGGCCTCCTCCAGACTGTCTTCATCATATCCTACATGATCTTCGCCCCACTCTTTGGCTTCCTGGGCGATCGATACAGCCGCAAGTGGATCATGGCCCTGGGTGTGTTCATCTGGTCACTGACAACTCTGCTGGGCTCATTCATGGAGGTAGGTGCTGTGCTTTGTCAGGTTGCATGCTAACTGGTAGTTGGTTTGCATCCAATGGATTGGTCCCATGTGACAGGCTAGGCACATCCCATGGTTGTGCCACATTCCACCCAGAAGTCAGTTGTGGCCCCATGCAGGCATGTGCCTGGAGCCCCTTCTCCCTGGAAAGGAATATCGGGATCCTGTAACCATAGAACTCTGTGTGATCCTGGATTCACACTTGAAGATCCAACCACATGTCTGCATTATGGATTTGCTTTATCCTTCCACGTGTTAGCTGGCCATAGATGTCATGAACATGCACATTCTATGCTGTGAATGGTCAGGCACTATCAGGGAGCGGCATTCCCCTGTCAGGTCCCGCACAGGTCATGTTACGAGGTGGGATGTGTCCCCTGGACAGGAACGCGTCCCACCCCGTGACGGGTTCTGGTCCTGGGTTCTTATTGCGTCTCATCTCATGACAAGCCCTCACCTCACCAATGCTCACTGTGGCGTCCCATGACGTGTCCGTGTTGCACTCGGGGCCTAAAATTAATGCAACGACCCTGTCAGACAGTCCATCTCGGTTGGCTGCTGAGAGAGCTCTCGACCACAGATTTATCTGGCTGTCAGCGTGGAGAATCGAACTGGGGTCCCAGCAGGGCGGCTGCTACAGCAAACGGGACCGTCTTTCCAGTTTTTGTTTAAATTTTTGTCGGAAAATGGTAACAGATACTTGGTGGAGATGCAAGATGTTGTATTTAGGCGACGTTTAACATGTGTGGGCCGAACCAGTGCTTATTTAACTAGCTTTTCTTAATGGCACCTTCTATTGCCGGTATTTTCCTCGCTACTCACATGCTGTGGCGCAAGCTAGGCATGTGCCTGGATGCCAAGGATGGATCCAGGCTCCTATGGTTCTGTGGTCGCATACTTCTGGGATCAGATCCTGAGATCTATTTCTGGCTCCAGACGCATGTCTGGCTACGGAATCTTTAGTTGTGATAGGAATGGTTTCTGACCTGGTGCGGATTAAATGCCTCTAGGGCATGGAGCCAACATTAGTTTTCCAGTCCGTGGTGAGCTCACTTCGCGGCAGTGAAGTTCCGCAGTGTGCGGTCAGTGCGTTGTGCAAAGGCGCGTCAGGCAGGTGACACTTGGCCCAAGGCGTTGGTGCATGGTTGCAAACCAGCTGCCAAGCGACGAGCGGTGCGTGCTGCGTGAGGAATGTGGTGACACTATCTTTGCCTGTCGGGCGGAGGAGGATATCCTTGGGTGTGAGGCTATCTGCGTTTGGGGGGGGGGGGGAATCAGGATATCCTTGTGTGGGCTTCGCGAAGAAGCTGGGAGGGGCGGGGGTGAGCGGAGATAATGGGTAATTTACCTCAAAGCCATGCAGAAAACGTGGTTGCCGTACGTGGCCCAATTTATTGTCAGTCGGTGTGCAGGAGCCTTGAGCCTCCCTCCCCTCCCCCTCTCCCCTGAGAAGCTGTGGCAATAGACGGTGACGTGAGCGGCCTGTTACCGCGGATTTTAATTGCAGCGTGCAGTCAGTATCAAAATATGAAGGAGACATTGAGTGACCTCATCACTAAAGTTGTTCCACATGCCGAAGCCTCGCCTTCGAATTCACTGAAGATGGCGGCGCGCTTGCCGGTGTATGCGCCGGGTGGTCAACGCTCGGATTGGTTCTGTCAATTTTGGGCGTTGAACGACCGCGGTTTGTCGTTGAGCCCAAAAACTTAAAATCAACATCTCCCCACAAGTGCAGGAACATTCGGGGAGCCCGTGATTCTGTGACCAGAAATGACCAATTAACTGCCCAGGGTCTCGGCGGCAACGTTTTCATCATTGTTTCGAGCCGCCCGAAGCGCGAGCGACTCGCTCGGACGGGCGGCGCACCTTGCGCGCAGTCCACGGCCCTCGCCGTTCCCGTTCCCCGTCACCTGGTAGGCGGCTGGCGTCGGCGGGGGTGGGCCGGCACCGCTAGCAGACGATCGCAAGGCCCGACCGGCCGGCAGCTGACGTCTCGGCGCTCGGCCAATCACCGACGCCGGGTCCGATCACGCCAGGTGTGACGTCACCACTCGGCCGAGTGGGCGTGGCGTATGCGGGCCGGCCGCCGATTGATCGCCACGCAGCCCGCGGCGTGCCGAGCGGGCGCGACGCACGCAGGGCGGTGGTCGGGAGGGGAGGAGGCGATGGTGTGTTGCGCACGTGGACAGGGTGGTTGCGTCAAAGCTGCTGGGCTACAGCTGGTCGTTGCCACCGAATCGCAGCACTTGCGATAATAGCTGTTGATAGGCGCCCATTTCAAAGGTCACTGCGCGGAGAGACGATTTTTTGTGGTCATTGTTTTTTATGGTACAGTTGTCATCGACTGACCTCTAGTTACGTCCAAGGGGTATCACGGCTGAAGTGTGACGGCAAAAGACTCCGATGATGGGAGTGATACATCAGTTATACGCGATATTACTTCTGCTCTAAAAACTTCTAGACTACTCGTGCGTAACATGCTTATACTGCAGAGTAAAACGCTTACTCAGAAAATGGATGGTACACAGAACAATAATGCATAAAGCCTATGCACGTCATTACGCTTACTGCAACAACCTAGAGCCTGCTTGTGTGCGGCATTGCTTTTGCAATAACATGACATGAGGACAACACGAAAAAAATTATGCTGCAAAAACTTGTGCTCTTCATTACTCATGCAGCAGAGATTTGCGCAGTCTTGACCCACGCGTGATATTGCTTCTACTGCAAAAGCTCATACACGACATAAACACTACGCGACAGAACTCGTGCCGCCAAAGCATGAAACAATTATTACTTCTACAACAGGCTTTGCCACAAGTATTTGCTGTAGCACTAACTTTGCGTGAAATCCTTGCCATTAGCAGTAATCCCGTGGTCAATGACTGTATAGTTCTTGCAGCGGGGGTAATGACTGGTATAAGTTTTTAAGGGTAAGTTTTGTCACAGCAATAATTCCGCATATAAGTCTGCAGTAGAAGTAATGACTAGTATGATTTTTGTCGCGTAGCACTTACGTTGTGTAAAGGTATTGTCGGTAGAAGTTACGTCGTAGCACACCTGTCAGCAGTTTTTGTACCACTGATTTCATGGAAAACGATCAAGGGCCTCGCCAATAGGGGCAGTGACCATTGACTAACCTCCCCCCCCCCCCCCCCCCCCTCCTCTGTGCCGGTGCCTTACGTGAACCGTATGTCGCCAGCTGCAATGTTATCGTTTCAATACTGGCCCCCAAATCGATAGTGGTCAGGTCCCTCCAACGACCGTCGGTTCGTCTCTCAGCGGGTCGGCCGCCCCCGGTTTGCAATCCCGCTAAAGCTGCCTGTTCCTGTCCGATGCTTTAGCCGGCGGCTGGCGTAATTCCTGGTCGGACGCCGGTACACGACCGATCCGACTTGTCCTGGGGGGCCTGGGGCCTACCGCTGGTCAGCCGCTGTCTTCGTGAGCCCGGGGCCTACCGCTGGCCAGCCGCTGCCCGGCCGTCCGGTCAGATGCAGCTGACCCGCCGCTACGAGAGCGACTCCGCCGGGGTGCGGCGTGCGGTGCGGTCAGTCGGGCGGCTACGAGATCTCGCGACCAATCGGCTGTCCAGGCTTTGTAGGGGGCTCAGCCCAAGCGGGTGCATCAGGGCTGGCTAGACACTCCCTACCCAAAGAGGTCCTGCTCGGAGGAGACATCTGCCCTGGGGCCCGCGGTAGTAGTGTAGAGGGAGGGCGGCAATGCTTTATCATTTCCCAGTGGTACAGTCTCCACTTCATTGTGAGCGGGGCTCCATTCCCAGCTTTCAGGGAAGTGTACGTGGTACTCCGTGAAGCAGTGCTCTGTGCTTTCGTGTTTGGGTTTCAGCTTTGTATCCGGGCTCTGCTCTCTAACACTTTTTTGACGAAGCTTCTCTCTCATCCAGCATATTCATGTCGACGCAGACAGCTCATGTCAGACGTTTTTCCGCGTGTAGATATATGTTGTACACGATCGTTTTCAGCGAAATGGACGCTTGGTTGCAGCCAGATCATCACGGTTATTTAGAAAACGTTTGGGAGGTTCCATAAGTGCGGAGCCTTGGATTTGGCCTCCTAACATCAAATCTCCAGGTTAGCGCCGGCGAACCCTGGTCACATCGCTCTTGCATCTCCTCCGAACTCTCCTCATCGGGCTGTCCGTTCGCCCGGCGGCCGAAGCTCGGCGAGGTCGCCTCCTACAGTGCCGGCAGGTGGAAGCGCTGCTCCGCGCCGGCGCCCGCCCCGCCCTCCCCTGCCGTAGGCTGGACCCGGCTGTCTAGCCACCGCGGCGCCGGTCGGCCCTCGCGGTCCCTCAGCGCCGCCGACGCCCGCCCCGCCCTCCCCTGCCGTAGGCTGGACCCGGCCGTCTAGCCACCGCGGCGCCGGTTGGCCCTCGCGGTCCCTCCCCACCGCCGAGCCGCCGCCACGCCGCGTCAACGGCCGCGCCGCCGCCTAGCCGGCGCGTGGCGGCCGTGCCCATGACGTCATCGCGCCGCCGCTAACGGGCCGGCCGGCCTCACGACCACGTGGGCTGACGTGGCGCCGTGGTGGGGCGCCGTCGCTGCACGTCTGGGGAGTGGGAGGGGGGGGGGGGGGGAGGGAGGAGGAATCACAGGACCGCCGACGCCGGCCGCGAAGCCGCGTGATTCCGCTTGGCGCTGCGTCCGGTTGCGCCCGGTCAACCGAGAAACCCCACGTGACCCCCTCGACTTGGCAGGAATATGGGATTAGAGGTGCAGGTTTGTATGCATTCCGGGCACGGGATCTGCCCGCAGCAACTAAACACACGGGGTTTGTTCGAGTAGATCGCTGGCAGCGGACGCGCTGCAATGTACTATGCGCAGTGTTCTGGTTCGTGGACAGATAACACCTGCGCCATAATGTTTTCCATTCTATCGCGTATTTACTGGCCGTACGGTGCCAATATTAGACATGGCCGATCTGAAGCCGCCGTTCGCCGCGACGCAGACATTTAGCGTGGGACGACACTGCGTCTGATTTTGAACTAGAGCTCCGTTTTTGTGTCATGTAACCTTTTGCTCAATGCCAGGCCGCCGGGCTGTGGTTTTTCACTTCAGCACATGCCTTGCTGTTTATAACGTTCTACCGACGTATTGCGAGGCGTGACCATATTTGGCAGATGGTGACCTTACGTCGCAGATCGCTGCCGAGGCTCGTCTAACATTAGCCGCTCGGTCTGGCAGTGATGCCCTTCTGGCGACGGCTGTTGGACGGACGCTTCGGTGCCGCTTGTTTGCCCGGACGGTGCCCGGATTGTTGCTGTCCCACCTTAACGCTGTTCGCCTGTTGTGCTCGCAAACTTTTGGTGATATATATGTTCGCATCGTCAGAAACCTGCGCTGGAAGCATTTATCGGCAGCTGGGAGCCGCTTACTCGCAGTGACGGTGTGGCATTGAGACGTGTCTGTACCTCTTGGCACGGTCGCTGTGGGCAGTACTGTTGCTTCGCGAGCGGGTTATGCAGGCCGGGGCGATTATTATTGAGCGAGTGAGGTCAGGTCGCCGTCGTCTGCCATTGGCGTGAGCTGGCCCTGCGGCCATCACGAGTGAGGTCAGGTCGCCGTCGCCTGCCATTGGCGTGAGCTGGCCCTGTGGCCATCACGAGTGAGGTCAGGTCGCCGTCGCCTGCCATTGGCGTGGGCTGGCCCTGTGACCATCACGTGGTCGGGCGCCTCGCCATAGACCGTGGACCGGCATGGACGGACCGGAACGGAGAAACGGGTCCAGATATGGGTTCGGCAGCTGTCACACTTCAGACGGGTGGCGTCTGGAGATGCCTCGCCCGAGCGGCCGGTATTGTATGGGTTCGGTAGCAGTCACACTTCAGACGGGTAGCGTCTGGAGATGCCTCGCCCGAGCGTGCGACTGAGGTCGCACTTTCGCAACGCGATCAGCTTCCATAGAATGCATCTGTGGTGCTTTGCATTGGACAAATCAAACGTCGCGAACGATTAGCGATCGATAGCACCGTGGCATCGAATGCATGCAGCATAGAAATCAACTGTTTTCTCCTCGTTTACTCAAACCCTGGGGAAGCATTTCTGCAAGGATCGCAGCCCAAGCAAAAGGCCGCATCCGATAGACCGTGACACACCTGCACTTAATGTGGAGGCAGGGTATTGATCATACGGACCTGACTCACTGCTAAACCCCACGGGCTGACCCCAGCAACCCGTGTTGTAAGAGCGCACTGGGATGAACACCGTCCACTCGCCGCCTCGACGGAGATGGATGCATCGCCATTCGTAGGCTGATCACGACGTGCTCACGGCACCGATCAGACCGACCCTGCCGTCTCGAGCCGGGCCGCTGGTCAGCCGGCGGGTGGTGCCCGCCAGTGTCCGGTACGTGAGGCAGGAGCCGGCGCAGCCGTCGGCGGGATCTGATCTGACCGAGCCTGCCGTCTCGAGCCGGGCCGCTCGTCAGCCGGCGGGTGGTGCCCGCCAGTGTCCGGCACGTGAGGCAGGAGCCGGCGCAGCCGTCGGCAGGCATCAGTGGTCCGTCGGAGCAGGACGGCATCCTGACCATGTTCACGTCCGGAACGGGCTGGATCAAGAGGCGTGCTACGATGCGTGGCTCATGCAGTCCGAGCCTGCGGGTCAGTTCCATCATCCTGGCGGGGTCAGAGGCCACGGAGTTTACGATGCGGTGAAGATCAGATGACCTCCCAGTTTTCTACTGTGGAACTTCCCACCCCAAGATCATGGTTGCGTAAGCACAATTCGCGGACGAGCCCTGTGTATTCCTATCAGTATCGCTTGTATCGTCTCTCCTATCGGCAGTTTGGTCATTCTGATAATGAGCATATTCCGAGATTTCATCGGCTCGGAAAGAGATTAGTCAGGTACCGACTAACAGCTTCATTATGCGTATGCGACTTTTTGACAAAGACAGAAGCATCAAATATTTGCTAAATATGAGTGATATGAAGCTGGCACAAAATACATAACTGTTATCTCAAAAATGGGCCGGGCTGCAGTTACGATGCTTCATAGTGCATAGCAGATGATGCACTGTTTCAAGAACACTTTTCAGTAGTTCTATAAAGTTTTGCCCGCAAAAGCGTTGATCACGAAATCCGTTACTTGTAAAACGGCATGCATTTTGTATATATTGTCTAGAGTATGAAAAGTGTTCTAATGGTCCTCAAAACGTCTAAGATATGCTTGGCGAAATATGTCTGAAACCTACCCACAATTTTTGCTACGAACCTTAAATGACTCCGTTGTAACGAAGGGAGAAAAAAAACACCGCAACTGGCAACATTCTGCAACGACACCCTATTGTCACTTTTGGCTCCGTGCCCTTTTGTACCCTTTGTCACTTTTGGCTCTTTTGACTGCAGCTGTCGTGATATAGCAAAAATCAGGCGCATTAGAGCTCAGCATATGACTCCGAAGATAATACACGTTTCTTACATTTTCCCTCTCTGAATACAATATTCCGGTAAAGTTGCCCGTCATTCCAGCTTAACCCATCCGATCTTGACATCTCCCCTCTAGTCTCAGAAACGCGGATAAGAAAAAAAGAAACCTATACCTCAACTTGGATCAGAATTCCGGCTTATGGCTGTTAACTACTACGTGCCTCTCATGCAAAACCTGCGTAGGTGTTGCACATGTCACGTTGAATATAAAACGGACTTGTTTATAGGGGGGGCATTGTTGCGGCATTTCAGCATCCGAAAATATGGAGAAAGGTTGATTGTATGCAGGTTGTGTTTGGTGCTGTTCGCATTGTGCTCTTGTCCGATGAAAGCTCCTCTTCCTATGTGTTCTTATGTGTTTTGGATGGTGTGCACGGGTAATTTGCTTTCAGGTAACTTGCTAACCAGAGCTGGTTGTGAGTTCTGTGAGCTTACCACCAATGTTGTGCCGATACGGTTGGGAGCCAGGATGACCCTGTTAGACTGGCTATCCGCTGACCTTTTCATCCAGTCGTACACAGCGATGCGTTTTCTCGGAATCTTGTTTGTACGCGGTCCCGCTTGATAAGAAGTGTATCTTTTCTGCTGGCCGTGGAGGCGGCATTGTACGTTTTAAGTGTGCTGTATGTTTCCTAAACTTAGTGACCCAACTTGCGTATGCTTCGCAATTACCGCATATCGCTTCTGGGCAACTTGTGAGGTATCGGCATGATGTTCGATTTACAGTACGTCTTCCGTAGGCATGCGCTGTTTTCCTAGCACTATCTGGCCTGCCCTGATCCGCCCCGCCCGGCCCGTTTCAGACCTTCACCGGGTTCATCTTGACACGCGCCGCCGTCGGCATCGGCGAGGCCAGCTACTCGACCATCGCGCCCACCCTCATCTCCGACATGTTCGCTAAGGACATGCGCTCCATCATGCTGGCCGTCTTCTACTTCGCCATCCCCATCGGCAGGTGCGGTCGGCCGCGGCGAGAGAGATGGGGGCGGGGGAGGAGGGCGGTCGGTAGAAACGACCATGTGTCGTAGGGGTGTTACTGCAGTGTCGAGGACAGCTTGTGTTGATTTTGATGGCTATTTGTGTTGAGCCTAGTGTCTGACACTACGTGTTGTGTTGTGTGTCCGCTGTTGCGTGACAGTTGACGTCTGATGCCGCAGGGGGCTCACCGCGTGGTGCTGCGCTGTCATCTGTGCAGGAATTGTGCCTGCATGCCCAGGTGTTACAGCGGCCGTATGTGCTGCTATTGCATGACTTCCTGTCTCGTTTTGGCTGTTTTTACCTGCACATTCGTTACTCATCGCCTCTGGTCTGCTTCCATCGGCGCCTCGCCTCTGGTCCGGATGTGACGACGCTGGATCCCATGAACCAAGGCACGCCAACCGGGCCGCCTCCGCATCTCGTGCGATAGCGGAGGGTCCTTTGGCGGCGCTGATCGGTGCCCTTGGACCGCCGATATGACCTCGGTGCGACCGCACCGGCTGGCGGCCGGCCGTGCCGGTGTTTACGGCGACTCCGCTGCGGCGCACGCGCCGGTCAGATGTCCCTCAATTGGATCAGATTGGGCTGGTTGTGGAGCCTTTTGTGCTGTTCGCAGCCAGTCATCTGCCGGCAGTGGATAATTCCTCGAGGGTGCTTGTGGCGGTGTACAGATATTTCCTGCCAAGGACTCGTGGTCCTCTTTTATTAGAAACTTCTCTGGTTTTTTCGCGTTCTCGATTCCAGCCAACTGGCATGATGTGGGGTTTTGATACATGATACATACATTTGATACGTGCATGATACATGTAAGCAGGGAAGGCCGTGAGCTGCTGGCTTTCTTCATCAGTGGGATGTAAGTCTCATATCGAAAAAGTCGACCTTCAGTGTGCCAGGAGGCACCGGTCAAACGACATCAAGCAAGCATTAGTGTTAAATTGAGGAAAAGCTCGACGTTTCGAGACTGCTCGTCGGTTTGCTGTGGAAACACCTCGCACGGCCCGTGGTTGTGGGCTGACCAGCCCACACTGCACTATGTTCCCTCCTTGTTTTCCCCGATATGCAGCCACGCGGTCATAGAGGCGTCTGCTCGTCGCAGCTCCGACGCATCCTGTGTCATCTCGGCACACCTGGTCCATAGTACTCGACTCTTCGCTGTTGCTCTTCGCCTCACAGTACTCGAGGGAGCGCTGTGCATGGCCGCCTCTGAGTCGACCACGTCTTGACGCGCGCCGCCGGCACGTACGGACCGCCTGCGCAGCCGCATGCCGCGTGCTCCGCGGGGCGTCTCGGCCCCCTCCCAGTCTGCGTGCTGACCGGCCGTCGCTGCGCGCGCGTAGTGCCTGCTTGCGCGGTCGGGCCGTGGTCGCCCCGCGGTGTCGGCTGTTGCTGCGTGGTTACGAGCGCTGGCAGTTACCAAGGCGGTGAGGTTGGGCGCGCGCGGCGCGGCAGGGACGTCTGACGCGCCACGACTGTCGCCGACACCCGACGTGTCTGGCCGCCCAGCCGGTTGCCGGCGGTCCGGCCGGTGTCTGGGCGTAAACACGTGGCGGACGGCGAGCAAAATTGTGCTCGTTGGCATGTGGCTGGGTGCTGACCAAGTAACTAAGCGAATGTTAGTCCTCTCGTCATAACTTACGCCGCTCCTGATTGGCGAGGAAACGTCCTGATCGGCGCTGACGCGTGTTGACAGCTCACAAGAAATCGTGGTCAGGAGTGATAGTCCAGTTGTCCAATATGCTGATTGCAAGACGACCTGTAGCTTCTGTCGGTAGGGACGGCGTGTTTTCAGCATGGCAGACGGGGCGTGGATGGCGTATATGCCTGTGGCGTTTTGTTTATCGCGCAGTCGTATCGCCTATGCCGTGTCGTCCCTTGGTGTTGGCCCATCACGTGACCCGCCTTGTGCGTACCATCGAGTCGCCGCGTACGCCATCGTGGGTCCCCGCCGCACGTGTCGGTCGTGTGACCGCCACCAGCGGTGCGGGCCACATGGTGGCCGCGTGGGTGCGCCGTCTCACTTCGTCATCCTCCCCTGACAGCGGTCTAGGCTACATCGTGGGCTCGAAGGCGGCGGAGGCAGCAGGCGCCTGGCAGTGGGGCCTGCGCGTGACGCCAATCCTGGGCGCCGTGGCCGTGCTGCTGCTGATCGCGGTGCTGATCGACCCGCCGCGCGGCGAGAGTGAGGGCACCTCCAATCTGCGCCCCACCACCTGGTCGGAGGACCTGCGCGCTATCATACGCAAGTGAGTGGGCCCCAGACAGCGGTGAGAGTGGGTGGAGCGAGGTAAGTGGTGGGATAAATGAGAGTGGATGGGTGGGTGGGTGGTTTAGTGAGTGAGTGAGTGAGAGTGGATGAGTGAGTGAGTGAGTGCGTGAGTGAATGAGGTAGCGGCGCTGATAATCGGCCGCTGCTTAGTATGGAAGACATGAGTGTTTCCCACAGCATGGTACATGAGGCCGTTAGGGTACTACATGGTGAAAATCGCGACATCGCGAAATAATACGGATCGCGAGATAATTGTACGTAAATCGTGCTCGGAACAGACCGCAGAGAGCAAACAACAGTGCACCCATCCTGGAACGACAACATGTACCTACCAGTCGGCGTGTTTTCGCACGTTTTCGCTCTGCGCCACTCCACTTGCCCCAGCTGTGTGACAGTACGCATGGGCTCCGACGATGGCGTCACAGGCTGACTGACAGCAGAGCTGCGCCGCTGGTGCCCGGTCCCAGGCCGTCGCCGCCGCCGCCGCAGTGAGCCCCGCCCCGTGACGCCCGCGGCCGTCGCTCATGCTACATGGCGCCCTGGTGCCGCTGATCCGCTCGTAGTGGACGCGGCCGGCCGTGGTCCGACGAGCGACCTTGGCGGAGGGCAGCCGCGAGGCCGGCTGGCCGCTGGCCCCCGTCGCGGGCCGGCCAAGCCCCGCCCCGCCGTCGGCACGCGCTCGGGGCGGGGGCGGGGGCGAGACGGAGTCGTCACTGACAACGACTTGGCATGGACCGCGGCGATGGAGCCCGACGGTGTTTTTATCGGCGTGCGTGCGCGCGACCCAGCGACGGCACGCGCGGCGGCGGCGCGAGTTGGGACGGCTCCAGCATTGGCTGACGGACGGACGTCACCGAGGCTGGCAGCGCGTCGGTATTGGGGTCAGACCGGCCGTCGGCTGGCCCGTATCGAAACCGACTCGACTTCGGTCGGTCGGATGTCGCCTGCGATACCTCCGGCCGGGGCACTTGCCACCTGTTGGCCCTCTGACGGGTACCCTCCGGTTGAGCCCCAGATCCGTCTCGGGTGCGAGACAATGCGGACACTCGAGCGGAGGCTCGTCGGAAGTGAGCCGCGTCGGAAGCTGGGGACGTCGACGGCTCGGCTGCTCCTTCCGAAGAGGTCACGTGACTCGCTGCCAGCGCCCGGCCGACGCCGGCGCTCGCTGCGTGGCGGGGCGGCCCGTACCGTCTTGAGACCTCTCGGCTCGGCGGGGCGGACTGATTATCTGTGGACGGCAGGCGCCGGGGCTGAGCTGGGCCGGCGCGGCACGGTGGCGGACGGCTACGATAGCGCCGCCGGGTGGCCATCGGCGCCATCGGCGCCGGACCGGGTCCAGCGCTGACTGGGGCACGCAGGCGGCACGGTAATTGGCGGCTCTGAGGGCGGCTTGGGTTCCGCTGCCATGATGCGATTCCATTTCAGGCGGGATATTAGCCCTTGCCCTGATTCGCCGCTTTTCATGACTCGGCTGATCAGGGGATCAGCTGATCAGTGTGGGGGACGTTGATGCGACCCACATTAACCCCATTATGCCACGCTAACAGTGAAATTCTGAAAATCGAACCGTTTCAGCCTTACTTGCTCATCTGTAGGAAACCATGCATCATATCAATACGGAACTTAAACAGGCGTGCTCTTTGTGCAATTCTGAGTACAATGGTATGTGGTTGTATTTTGCTTTGAGCATTTGTTTGTGATGACTCCGTCAGTGATGCAGCTCCGGCCCGTCGCGCGCGGACAGCCGAATCGTCAGTTGCCGGTCGCTGCCTGAGCCGGCCGTAGGTCGCCGTGCATTGTTCCTCAAACGCCGCTGCTGCCCCGAAACCGTAGATGCCAGAGACACGCTTTTGGCGGCAAAATACGTGCAATGGATACCCCTAAGGCTGCCAGAAATTATGGCACGGTTGCACGGCGTACCGGAGAGGTCAGAAAACCCTAGGGGCTTGCACCGCCTCCCCGTCCTTTGACGTCGAGGGGTACGTTTTCCACATGCGAGGAGGAAGGAGGGCAGGACCCTGCTAAATGTGCCGGAGGTCGGTGTTCCCTCCGTCTCCTGAGAAGGAAGTCCCCGTCTGTGGCGACAACGAAATATCATTAGGCCCTCCATCTCTGGCGCACCTGGCATACACTAAACTGTCATTGAACACCCGGACAACACGGACGCGCTACCTGAGCGCAGTGGGAGATGCAGCTGCCGATCTATTTATGTTTTTCTGGGCGTTTGTTTTCTGTTGTGACATGTGTTCTCAGGCTTTGAATGTTTCTTGACGACTACGGATGAGTCGCGTGTGCTCAGCTGCGTGGCAGTTGCACCTCGTCGGTGTCGCTCTCTGCCGGTATGCCCACGGTTCGGGAAGGCACTCCTGCGAACCGCACAGTTGACATGTTCGCGGTCGCCAGAACCACCGTGTACACAGTAGTTCCGCAGTTTACGATGCACGGTGCTAAACCGGCCCGCAGCGAGCGCTGCGTAGCCGCAACATCCGATTTCTTCGAGATTATGCCTGCGTTGCCGGGCGGCGTGGACTGAATCCTGGCACACGGCCGTCCGCTTGTCGCGGCCTGCGGGTGTCGTCCCGGCCGTGTGAAGCACGCGGTGCTGCGCGAGCCGGAGCGTCGGTTACGCTCGCCCCAGCATCTGTCGTGCGCGGCTCGCCGCCGTCCCGCCGGCGCCGCCCCCCTCCCCCGCCGTGACGTGCGCCGTGCCTCCTGCCCGCAGTCCGAGCTTCTTGCTGGGCACGTTGGGCTTCACGTGCGTGGCGTTCGTGGCGGGCGCGCTCTCCTGGTGGGGGCCTAAGTACGTGACGGACGGCCTCAAGCTTCAGGTCGGCGACGAGAACGCCGACATCAACGAGTAAGTGTTGCCGACGCCGGCCGGCCGGCTGGCGCAGGGTGAGCCGGTCTCGGCCCGCCCTTGTGTAAAGGCATGGTGTGCGTGCTGAGCAGCTGCCGCTCAGTTCAGAAAGGTAAGCTCTAACGGCATGTTGGTGTAGTCCGTGGCGTCCGCTGAAAATGGTTTGCAATGTCCTCGTATGGGGGTGTGCTGCGTATGTTTCAGATCACCAGTTGAACTTCCTCAGCAATACAGTTTCGCTCTACAGCTGTGTAACTAAGCGCTTTAAGTTGGCTGCTGTGCTCGTGAAATAGTCTGTGAGCATGTGACGCAATGGCCTCGCGATTGAGTTTGCCAATCGCCAATGCTCCTTGAGAGAGGGTCCGGTGTCTCTGCCCTGTCTCTTCGTAGTTAAGCTGCGCCGTCGATAGCGTGCTGGGCTCCTGATTGTAAGTGCGGCCCTGTTACCTTGGCGCGGGGCCGGGACCGGGACCGGGACCGGGACCGGGACCGGGACCGGGACCGGGACCGGGACCGGGCCGGGGCCGGGGCCGGGGCCGGCGTCGGGGCCGGGGTCAGGGCCAGAGCTGGGGCTGTGACCGAGGCCGGAGCCGGCACGAACCACAGAGTCCGCTGCGGCCGGTCTGACCGCGCGCTCGCTTCACGGGCGGCGTGCTTGCCGTCGCCTCGGAACCTGGCCGGTCGGTCCACTGGCGTACTGCCGGCCGGTGGAGCCGGTACGGAGCTGCCAGCTGTGTGGAGCTTCTGACGATATTGGACGCCCGCGTGAGGCTGGCCGGGCTATGGCTCGGGCCGAAGGATTAATAGGCCTGAAAACGGCTTTCTGACCCAGGACGTTGCTAGTTCGGGTGCCCTCCATGATCACCGTCGTAAAGACAACTCGATCCGGGTTATCTGTTACTTATTGCACTCTGATCGCTTCCTCAAATGGGGACATGGTCTGCCATAAGTTAGGTCGTAGTATCTGGGTCCAGCTGTTGCCATGCGACCGCGTCATTCGCCGCTTTCTCATTGGGCGCCCGCTGATGTCTTCTGCTTATCATTACAGCTAGTGTGCAAAGGGCACGTAGCCTTCCTAGCTCTCCGTGTTTAGAATGTGCAGGCCAGATGACCAAACACCCTCCTCGCGGGCTGGCTGGGGGGGGGGGGAGGAGGAGGGGGGGGGGCAAAGTGCGCTTGCTGAATTTGGCTAGCACTCTAATCCGATTGTGGTCTTTGGACTGGGGATGGTCGTCGTGTTTGGTTTTGAGGCGATGGGGTGGGCTTATGACATTCGGTGTTGGATCGTGTTACGATGTGTATACAACCCTGCGCTACCATGCCGTGGCCTGAAAGGCCGCAACACGGAAGAGGGAAGCCATTAAGTCGGCTTCATCCCTGTATCACTGCTCGCGGCTGGGACTTCATTGCATCTGTACTGTTTACCATGAGAGATTCGCCGTCCGCTGGTCCCGCACACTTGTGTTACATCACTGGTGTTCCGCCGCTGCACCGAGCTAAACCACAGCTACGACTGCAGCTGGTCGGCGGCGGGCGGATGGGGACGAAGCTGTCGTGTACTGCCCCGTCACATCCGCACTCTCATTAGCGTCGCCTGCACATGCGCCTATTCACTAGCCGTGGTGGACCACTCGAGCCGCGTGCCCCGACAGCTGGCCGTTCAGCGTGACGACCGCCAGAGGGCTGCACCGACGCTCATTGGGCTCGTGCTCATCTTGTCTGTCATGAGCTCTTACCTTTGTCCGTCGTGGCTGCTCCCGTTCCCCGCATGACGCTTTGTTGTTTTGAGCGTCGGCTTTGCTTCTGTCGGCCCGTTGTCTTCTAAATAAATAAAATAAAATAAAATAAGACAGTGAAATCGCATGGCGGCTGGTTAAATGGCCTGTGGACGGTTACCCGATGTTGTTGTAGTAAGACATCTGTTTTTGGGTCTGCAACGACGCCCTCGCGCTGTCCTCGCAGGTATGAGCATGCCCTTCATTTCTACGGCAGCGCTTCCGCTGCCCACATTGCCAGCGTCGTCCTATTGCTGTTTATGACAACACAAACATATGTATCACACACAAACATGTGGCAAATAAACGACATGCGTGTGCCTCGTATCGGGCGGCGTGCCAGCGTTGCGCAAAACATCACTGCTCCATACCGTCTAGTTCATCTCGCGTATCGTGCGTCCGCCAACCACCCTGGCACTAGCCCTGCCTTTGTAAGACCACTTTCCACACATGCCGTCTGCCGACTGTGGTTGCCCTCCTCCCCAGCCATCTGTCCGTCCCAGTTACAGCGTGTCCTTCAGAAGCGGCCGGCTGGCAGCCGCTGGCCCGGTGTGTCGCGTTGCTCACGGGCCGCCGACTGACCTTGCTCGTGCCTGCCGCAGTGTGTCCTTCATCTTCGGCGTGGTGACGATGCTGGCCGGCCTGGTGGGCGTGTCGCTCGGCTCGTTTGCCGCCACCTGGCTGCGGCCCCGCTTCCCGCGCGCCGACCCCATCGTCTGCGCCGCCGGCCTGCTGCTCTCCATGCCGTTCATGTTCAGCGGCGCCATCGTCTGCCAGTACAGCACCAACTGGGCCTATGTGCTGCTCTTCTTCGGCCAGGTGTTCCTCAACCTCAACTGGTCCATCGTTGCCGACATGCTGCTGGTGAGAGCGGGCACGGGCGCGGACGCGCACGGCATGTGAGGGAACGAACGCACCTAAAACATCAACGAACGGCGCGCCTGCATGGCCGCGCCCCCGACGTATATCGCACGCGTTTTCATGATTTCGTTTCGGTGACGTCCGTGATTTGGCCCAGTGTCCTGCGCCTGCACAACGAAGGGGCGCGTTGGCGCTGCGTTAGTACATGTGTTAGATGCGTTTGATTGCGTGTGGCGTAGCAAGTGAAGCACGGCTGTACCGCACGGCTGCGGATTTTGGCGGGCGTGTTTCGCGTGGGCGGCTGTCTAGGTCTGGTTTGGACAAATCAGCATTCTCATCAGTTTGTTGCGCTTGTTTCTGTGCACTTATCGTCGTGTTTATCTTTTTGCAAAGAATGCTGCAGTTACTTTGTCAACTTTTTTGTCATTTACATGTATGTGTCCATGGTAGGTGTCAATAGTAGATTTCTTAAAGTTTTTTTTCATTTTCCTGATCTCAATAATGCCACCAAAATCACTTGGTACGTCTTGGTCTTCTAAAAACCGTGTCCTGTGTATGCAGAACAGGGCGATAGGAAACAACCGTCGCGTTGTGTGCAGGCAGTCTCAGTCGCCTTTAAAATGTATATCGCACCATGTTTACGTAATGTCGTCCCGGTAACATCGGTGATGTGACCCAGGCACCCACTCCAGAGCAGACTGCGGCCAAATAACTGCAGATTGCACTGCGCCCGGGTAAAGAGGCGGGGCGCTCTCCCCCCCACCCCCCACCCCCCACCCTTTCCAACTCCCTCCGCCCCCCCCCCCCCCGCTCCCCGTGACCCGGACACGTGATCTCGTTCAGGCGGAAAACTGACCCAGGAGTGATCCTTGCGGCGACGGCGGGGCGCCACGGACGCGTGTTGTTGCCTGCCGCGCGGCCGCTGCGGCGTGGATCGGCCTGTCGACGCGGCCCGGGTCGGGTGCACCTCCGGGGCGGGCCGGAGCTCGGGCGGTGTGAGGTGTATGGGAGCCCCGGGCCGGGTACACCTCCGGGGCGGGCCGGAGCTTGGGCGGTGTGAGGTGTATGGGAGCCCCGGGCCGGGTGCACCTCCGGGGCGGGCCGGAGCTCGGGCGGTGTGAGTTGTATGGGAGCCCCGGGCTGGGTACACCTCCGGGGCGGGCCGGAGCTCGGGCGGTGTGAGTTGTATGGGAGCCCCGGGCTGGGTACACCTCCGGGGCTGGCCGGAGCTTGGGCGGTGTGAGTTGTATGGAAGCCCCGGGGCGGGCCGGAGCTCGGGCGGTGTGAGGTGTATGGGAGCCCCGGGCCGGGTGCACCTCCGGGGCTGGCCGGAGCTTAGGCTGTGTGAGTTGTATGGGAGCCCCGGGCCGGGTGCACCTCCGGGGCTGGCCGGAGCTCGGGCGGTGTGAGGTGTATGGGAGCCCCGGGCTGGGTACACCTCCGGGGCTGGCCGGAGCTCGGGCGGTGTGAGGTGTATGGGAGCCCCGGGCCGGGTACACCTCCGGGGCTGGCCGGAGCTCGGGTGGTGTGAGGTGTATGGGAACCCCTGAGCCGGGCACGATGGGCGGACGGCGTTGGCGATGCGGGGGACCCGGTGCGGGGTAACATCCCTGCTGCGCTGCTACGATACCGATGGGAGAGGGAAGTGAGGGGACACGGAGAGAGGATGTGTAGTGGCTGGGTGTGCTGCCGCCCGACAACCGCCGTGTGTGGACAGACAGCCGACGTCGCTGGCGGCCGCCCGTCATCCCATGCCGGCAGTGCAAAAGACGAACGATCTCGCCGGCTCGATGCCGTCATGTGTCGATCCAGCAGATGGCTCTGACGCGATGTCATGCTCCGCTGGGATGCGATGCTTTGCTGGTTCAGTGGGGTGCTCTGGGGCGTGCCGCATCAGCCGAACGTCGTCATCAGCTGCCGTCGGTCGAGCGCGCTGACGGCGCCGACTCGGCCTCAGCTGACACGCCCGTGGTCGCTGGTGACGCCGGTGCAGCGCGCGGCCCATTAACCGGCCCAGGAGCGGCCGCTGTGGCCGGGCGCTGTCACAGCGGCGGCACCGGGCGGCGCCGTCGCTGCTGCGGCGTCCGGCCTCGTGGCGCGCCTGGTCAGCCAGGTCCCGCTGCGCCCCTGTTGGGCGGCTCCCGACGTGTGGGCCACGGCCTGTCGAGGATGTCCCCACCGCGCCTGCGTCACCGTACTGGCGCGCTGACGCGCGGCGCACTGTCCCTGTTCCAGTACGTGGTGGTGCCCACCCGACGCTCGACGGCCGAAGCGTTCCAGATCCTGGCGTCGCACCTGTTCGGAGATGCTGGCAGTCCGTACCTGATCGGCATCGTACGTATGGCGGCGGCTCTGGTGCCGGCTGACGCTGTCTGGGGTGGCCGTGGTGTTCGGATTTGCTGAAGCTTGCAATCGTCTGGGATCGGGCATTAGTCGGCCTCGTAGAGGGCCTGTAACAGATGAAAGTGGTGCATTATCGCCGCCGAAAGTCGGCTGTTGCCGACTGACGACCTTGGTGTGGGGTGGCCTGAAACGCTGCAGTAAATCGTAGCGGTTGCTGCGGTAGGCGCTGTAGGGGCTATCAGTGGGCGTGCCCTGTCTGCACAGCAGTCCCCATGGGGTTCAGATCACGGACTGCGCTGTGGGGGCTATGAGTGAGTGTGCTATGTCCGCGCGGTAGTCTTAATGGGGTTGGAATGTATTACCGCGTTGTGTCCGGCCTCAAACCGGTTGGCATTGTGTGCCAGCGGGAACCGTCGCCCGCAGAGCTTTGCACCACGCGATGGAATGAGCAGGAGCTTTTTACACGGTAACAACGATAACATATATCGAGAACATTCGAAAAAAAGATTGATTTTGCTGACCACATTGAGCAAACCAGTGATAACAACACCGAGGCAGGTCAGCGCTTGGTGTTGCGACAGCAGCAGCAGCCATTTGCGGTGGTCATTGTGGCGGCTCTGCTGTGCGCGCCGGCGCCGCCGCGCTCCCTGCCCCCGTTGTGGCGGCTCTGCTGTGCGCGCCGGCGCCGCCGCGCTCCCCGCTCCCCGCTCCCCGCCCCCGTTGTGGCGGCTCTGCTGTGCGCGCCGGCGCCGCCGCGCTCCCCGCTCCCCGCCCCCCGTTGTGGCGGCTCTGCTGTGCGCGCCGGCGCCGCCGCGCTCCCTGCCCCCGTTGTGGCGGCTCTGCTGTGCGCGCCGGCGCCGCCGCGCTCCCTGCCCCTGTTGTGGCGGCTCTGCTGTGCGCGCCGGCGCCGCCGCGCTCCCCGCCCCCGTTGGCCCTCTCCGACAGTCCTCCGGCCGACTGACCGATGGCCCTCGCTGACCATCGCCTCGGCGCCGGGCAGGTGTCGGACGCCCTGCAGCGCTTCCTGGCGCCCAGCGAGCCTCAGGCGACCGCGACCGTGCTGAACGCCACGGTCGGACAGCCACTGAACTTCACCACGGCAGCCAGCGTGGACAGCGTCTCGCTGGCCATGGCCGCGCCCGTCTCTGACCCGGACACTGACACTTACGTCAGCTTCAAGAGCATGCAATACGCGCTGTTCATCACCATGTTCGTCGAGGTGCTGGGCGGCTTGTTCTTCCTGATCAACGCGGCTTACATCGTGCGCGACCGAGAACGCGCCCGTCGCCTTACGGCAGGTGAGGGAACTAGAGAAAGGCAGGTGGCGCTGCGGATGCTGTTGGGTCGCGTCGCTAGGGTGTGCAGTCCGGTGTGGGAATCGGATGGTGTGTGGCGATTGTGTGGTTTCCGTTGGGGTGACATTCATCGGGACTATGAAGAATGTGGTGATGATGGAAGCTGAATGGAAGATGATAAAAGATGATGGAAGGCGAATGTTCTGGACTGTGGTCACACTGGCTATCCCGATCTGCCGTCTCCATGTCTCATCCCGGCCAGCCTTCATCAGTGTTGGCGTGCTTGTGCAAAATGTCTTCATTACTCATGGTCCGCTTTGAACTCTGCAATCGGTCCTCAGCCTCCGCCTGTGACCGATCTGCCATATTTCCGCCATGGATCCACAAGCAGAGATAACTTATAATTATCACTGCCGATACTAACCTGTGGTTAGTCGGTGGACAAACGTCATTGACCTCCACCAGTGACGCTGGTCCATCGCGCTTCCCCAATTATCCTGAAGCGTTCAGTCCCGACCGCTCATGAGCTGCCCCTAGATCCCATGGCCCCGCGCGCGAGACCCACCACGCCCTGTCCGCTGCATCCGAGCCCGCGTCACCCCCATCCGCCGTGATCCTTGCCAGCGATCCTCACAGTGTGGCGGCGGCTGAAGCGGCTAGGCCGACCCCGCTCCTCCTCCTGCCCACGGCCGTCCCAGCTGCCGCTCGCGCCGCGCCGCATGTCCTCCTGAGTGCCGTCGACGCTCCGGCGCCAGCGGTGAGCACCGGCCGTCGCCGCGGGCCGGCGCCCCCGCCGACCCCGGCTCCGGCTCCGGCTCCGGCCTGGGCTGGTCGGGTGGCCAGAGCCGCTGACGGCGCCCGTCCGGTCCTGGGGCGCAGACTGTGCCGCCGCCGCCACCGCCGCGTGTCGCAGCGGCCGTGGGGCCTGCACGGGGTACAGCTGCGTGGGTCCCGTGTCGCGCCACGGCAGGGTCAGCTGGTGGGGTGTGGCGTTCGGCGCTTTCATCAGTGACGGCCGTCTCGTCGTGGGAGGGACGTTCTGGGACCGTATGCGTGTTGTACAGATTGCTGCCGCCGTTTCTCGTTGACATGTGGAGGCCGTGGTTGGCATCCGGCCCGCCCGTGCGGTTGTCTGTCTGTACTGTCCGTGGCTCAGGCAATGCTGCCTGCCGTCTGCTTAATCGGGCGTCCTGTCGGTTCCAGGCGGCGAGTGCCTGCAGGCGGTCGCCGATATTCCCGCAAACAACGTGTTCGCCGACGATCCCATGTTCCGGGAACAGAGCCGCGAACTGCTGTCTTAGTGGACCCTGATGTCAACTGTCGGGCGCGACCGGAAGCTTCAGTGTTGTGTGGCGCCGCTGTCTAGTCCTCCCGGTGGGTTCGCCACTGTTGTCTGCGCGCGCACGTGGGCTGGGAGTGCGGCGCTGCTCGCGCCCGTGTTTGCTTCCGTGGCGTCGGTGTCGTGCGTAGCTCTGTATGGGTGGTTTGGATGTCCACGCCGCTCTAGCTAAGACCCGGCCGATGCCGACTGACAACGCGTACCGGCCAATGTAACGGGTCCTGCTTCATAAGGGTAGCTGTTCGCGATGCGCGGCTCGAGCTTGACGTTTCCAACGTGTTCTTCCACTTGCTCAAGACGGCCTGGAGCCTCTTGCGGCGATACCGCCGTAGTTCGTAGTCGGGAGAAGCAGGTCCGCTACCGGCGGACGGCTGCACCCGATCTCCGTGGGTCGCCCTTCTGTTGTAGACATGCTGGGCGTGCCGTTGACATCGCTGGACCAGTGGAACATCTTCCACCTCGAGTGGTTGGAGGCGCCGCAGCAGGAGCAGCGGGCGGACGGCGCCCCGCCGCCAGCAATGCCCTCGCGATGCGCCCCGCCTTTGGAGGCGTGGGGTCCAGGATCTGTGTGATAGCACCTTTGGGTACGGCGCCCCGCCCCGGCCTCTGGCCGCCAGCCTCAGTGTACAATTGTGGGGGGCTGTTGGGCCGCCGTGCGTATGTTGGTATTGTATATATTGGCGGTGCGGGGCCCCAGCGTAACGGTCCGCTTCCTCGCGCGCCCAGTGTTGTAGAGCGGATATTGTGAAATTGTGAATATAGCCGTCTGACTGTGCGTTACTGCCGGGCGTTTGTGGTGGTTGGCCAGACCAGGCGAGAGTGGGGTCGCGCCTCGGTGGAGGCGGTGTCGCGCGCTGTCTGGAGTGTGCCAGCGGGGTTATGCCCGGCCGGACCTGACCGGGCGACGGCGACGCCGTGGCCAGCGCCGGAGGCTGCGCAGCTCCCGAGGTCCTGTCACGGTGGTGGATGAGGAGTGGGCTGCATGTGATGGAGGCATGAGATGACGTGACGCTCTTGCGAAGAAATCCGTGCCGCGGTGCGGGGCGAGTGTTGGAGGGCCCGACTTTTATTGCCATGTCCACATATATATATATATATATATATATATATATATATATATATATATATATATATATGTGTGTGTGTGTGTGTGTATATGTGCGCGGCACCGGATCAGGCAGGTTGACTGGCACCCAGGAGAGAACAGACGAGCTTGACCACATCGATTCGCCTCTCCCACCGTGTCCCAACCGAGCCCATCCATACGCACGTGCACGGGGCACTCAGCGCGGCACTATACACATTACCGTTATTGATCCTGTAACCTACCACATGTGCACTGCTGGCATCGCCGCTATAATTCATCGCGACACTCCTGCGCCAGCGCCGGGCGGCACCTGTGGGGCGGCGGGGCGGCCGTGTGCGGCGCGGCTGTGCCGACCACCGCCCTTCTGCAGCTGCCAGCGCCGTGCCTAGTTTCGTGCAAGGTGGCGCCACCGTCGCGGCGCTGGACCGAGCAAGGTATTACTCTGGTGTTACTCTTCCGGCCACTCCCGTTCTTCACCATCGCCACCGCTGTCTGTCCCTTGCCACTGTTGTCCTATTGTCTCCCACTACAGCCACTGTCAGAGCCGCCACCATAGTTGCGGTCCTGACACCCTGTCGTCGTTTCCATCCCCTCCGACTGCGGGGTCTGCTCCACGCAGTACCTATCGGACATGGACGTCATCCCAGCGGCCGCAATCTGTCCGTGGCGTCCGTACTTCTCATCGAGCCAGGAGAAACGCATCGCCACTTCCGTGCATTCAGCGCGCTAGCCAGCCTGCTGCCGTCCGGCACGCCGGCTGTCCTCTCCATCTGTACTGGTGCCGGGCAATGCTCCCGCTTCCGCGCCGGCGGCTCATCTGCCGGCCGGATACGGTCCGCCGAAACGCTCGGCTAATCACAGCCAATCGATACAGGCCTACTTCGGCCGGAAGCGGAGCGCGCCGGCTTCAGAGCAGAGCAGACGGCCTCTGGTCGGTCGCTGCGCCTCCGTTGCTGCCTGGGTGAAATTCGACGACGGTGAACCGACGATGTTTCCAGTGCAAATATTGCCAGCGAAACAACCTCTGCGACACGACTTACACGAGACAGTTCTCCAAATGCAACTACCTCTAATGCATATACTTCTACGCCTCAAAGTACATAAAGCAAATAGCTCCGCGCGATATACTAGTCTGATGCAAAAACTTTTTTTCCTTGGCTCCGGCGCAAAAAAACCTTTCACGCATAAGCTACGCAAGGAAGCTTCCAATACAAAAACTACCATGCGTCATTAGTTCTACGCAACAAAGCCTCCAACCTCATAGGTTATAGTGTCAAAACTTCTGGCATGTCATGGCACGCGGAAAAACTTACGACTTAACAACTTCTATATGATATTACTTCTACGCGACCAAGAGTTTGGCTCACGATCTGCTAAACGACAACAAATTAGGAATGCTTATCTGGCGCTTTTCCCAAATTCTGAGATGTCGGTGCTGGAAATACAATTCATGGACATCTCGGCATCCGGAGGTAATATACTTTTATGGACATGTGTTCAAACACTGGTCTGTATTTACACCGAAAACGTACCTGTAATCTATGTTTCCTAATCGCAGGTATCTACACATCCAGCCGAAGAATGTGCGCAGAATAACTGAAAATTATTCGAAGTTTTCAAACTAACCCCTGCTGGGATTGCTGTGTACAGTTTAAAGCGCACATATGAAACAGTTCCAGTGATATGACGTAGATGATCTGTGACGTCACCGCAAAAGCCGCTGAATCGGCAGGCATCATCCGTGTCATCCATGTAGTTGGCGCAGCCGATCGGTTCTCCGTAGCCGATCAGTTTTAGTTCCCTAGCACTCGGCCCACTGCTAGGTAGCTGATCAGCAACTCAGATTGACACACGCATCTTCTAAACCCTTGGCAATCGGCTGGTGCGATAGATCAGTTTCGACTCGATCACCTATCGGCTGCCGAGTTGGAGACTGAGTATAATCGAGTTATTGTGCGGGCACCGACGACATGTGGATCAGTTTATGTTCAGTTTCGCGGGGCGACTGCCGTAGAACAGCAACCGCCCTGGTTTCTCGTGACGGCGCGGAGGTTAGGCTGATCGATCTTTGCTCAGTTTTTTTACCGCATAACTGAATGTAACTCCAAACTGTTGCGTCGTTCTTTGGGTATGCTACTGCAGACCCAAATAAAAATGGTGCGTTTTTGCCTCATCTTTCTTTGCGTCGGTTGATGGCGATCGGAACTCTTCAATCTATGCTGTGGATGCTAGGCTGATGCGTACCTTTTTGTGTCAGTTTTTGCGTGGTAGAGGATATAAACTCGTTTTGTTTTATAAATCGCTTTGTTAAAACCATCTCAGTTTTTTAAATGGACATGAACATGTTTGGTCCCAGTTAACACGTGGTACCTGACATCATGGCTCTGTCTCGTCAGATGACACCGAGGAAATGTCATCGCGCCTCTGTTTTGTCAGGAGACACCGAAGAAACGCCGATCGGCATGTTCTCATTTTTCACATGGCGACCGACCTAGTCTGAAGCCCTACTAATGCGATCAGCGCTAGAGCCCCTACGCGTCCAGTTAGGAATGGGATATGCTATCCATGCGTTACATGACTGATCTCCTGTAACCTCTGTCCTGGAATGTTTATGTAGGGGAAACCAATCGTAATATTCGTGACCAGATTGGCGACCACTTTGAAGACACGCGTCTAAGGAGGGCATAAATTACCCTAGGGGCACACGTGTTACACCGACACACAACTATGACATATAGTGCAACAAATGCAACCTTTAACATGCGTTCGGAAGGGGATCAATTCGACCCCCCCCCCCTCCCTCGTCCCCCTGAAGGTTTTCCAGAATGATTTCCGAACGGCGCGGTCTAGCCGCGCCAAACTTTGCGTGGTTGTAGAGTATTGAAAAGCGATCTTTTGATGTAAAAAATCAGATTTGCCTTGCAGGGTAGATGACCTACGGTAGGTTAAAGGCAGGCCATGGCTGTCAGCGAAGGGTATTTCTAGGGAATCTTCAATGCTATGCGACAACGGAGTGTTAGACGAGGCCATGCATACCTGAGACAGTGTCTTAGGCAATAAACGAATCCAATTTAGAGCTGCAACACATTCCAATGACCTTGTTTCAGGTATGAAGGTCAGACCAAGGTCAATTAACCTGCTTTTTTGCCTGAAAGCTTGATTTAGCGGGTAGTTTCTGGTGCCCATTTCGAATTTATTGATGACGCTGACCGTAACAGACGGGTTCCGTAGACCTTTCAGACATTGCTGTAATGTAGTAAGTCACTGACCTAGAGCGACCCAGGTCAGCGTTTGGACTCTAGGAACATACCACCTAACGTAATCCCTGATGCTTATTCCAATGACGAAATAGCAACAACCTCTGAGGTTGGTCACCTTGGCCTTATTAACACGCGCCCGGGTGGCCGGCTGGATACCCTTGGCTCGAGGGGGGGGGGGCAATTCGATCCCCTGAGATCTCGGGAACTAAGAGGGCTAGATACACCAAATTTACAGGGTGTGTTGACTTGTGCGTGAACTCACTTCGGTCAAAGTTTCAGGTTCCTAGGTAATGACCTTTTGGGAACATTAGGTCAAACAAGGTCGAATTTCAAGTTGGTCTTCGAAGTGCCCCCAGAACCTAGATAACCGTTTATAAAAAGGCCATATGCTCATTTAAAGTAATTGACCTTGTTTGACGTTTTGAAGGTCATGGTTACCAAAATTATACAAGCTTCTCTGAGTTTTGCATTTAAATAAGCCACAAAGATTACGCTAGGCCGTATGTTCCGAAAAACAAAATGTTGGCCTGGGTCATTTTACGTCAATGACCTATTATGACCTTTAAGAAGTCCATGGCAGATGCATAATGCGGTTCCTGCCATCAATAAATTCGAAATGAACACCGGAAACTACCCTCATACAGCAAGCCTTAGAGTAATAAAACAAGTTGGTTTTAACCTTGGTTTGACCTCCATACCTGACCTTAGGTCAATTCAATTTGCTAATTCAACTGTTTTGTTGCCTAAGAAAGCATCTCAGAGATGCATGGCTTACTCTAACACTCTGCTGCTGCATCAGACTGAGTGATTCCCTAGAAGTTCACTTCGCTGAAACCATGGCCTGACTTTGACATGCCACAGGTCAGCGACCTCACAAGCTACGTTTAAATTTGTTGTACCAAACGATCATCTATTTAACTGTCTACATATACGCAAAATTTGACGCGGTTACGCGCGCCGTTCGGAAGCCGTTCCGGAAAAATATTCGGGGGGGGGGGGCAATTTGACCTCCGAACCCGAGCACGTGTTAAGTGCAGAATAGGTCATTTACCCTAATTTAACACTACCTGACCTTTTGCTTAGAGCCGGTTATAGCTTCACGGCGGCTGCGTGAGGAGGTCTGGTGTACTTGAGACACCAAATTGGAGTTTGACCTTGTCTAACCTTATTTGACCCCAAGTTCATGACACATGAGACTTA